AACCTTTCCAGGACAACAGCCAATTAGATCCAGCAGAGCTTTAGCCCTGAGATAGTAAATTGTTGAAAATATTCTACCCTATGTCTTTTCTTTTTTTTTTTTTTACATTTGATTGCCATCTACAAATCAGCACCTGTTTTTTTTCAGTCACTCTCCCTTGTTCATGTCGTCAATGCTCTACACTCCTTTCTGTCCCCCTCTCACTCCTTTATTTAATCTATTTTTCCATATCACAGACATCTCAAATCGCAAAGCTGTTTGTAGTGTTAAATCATCCTGCAGAAGCGACAAGTTTTACTTCATTAAGTTGTGGCAGAGTGCACTGCTTCGCTGGAGAGTAAGGGTAAGAGTCTGTCCTCGTGGGCTCTATCAATAACCATTAAGGATCCTCTCTCATTAGACCAAACCTCATAGGCCCCCGGGGCTTGAGAAATGGGCCCTGCCATGTTACGTGACGGAGTACGCTTAGATGGCATCACCACTGTTTGGAAATGTAAATTGCAATACTTACTTTCCCCTGCGGATGATTGCCACCAGTGCTATGTACACAACTTTATTCTCATTCAACCTGTTTGCTTAATCAAGAAGAACCTCACTCCCCTATCAGCAAACCCCAGTTTGCTCCTGAGCTCCTCCCTTTTCCCCCTCTCCATCTTTTCTCACACACACACACACACACACACACTCTCAAACCCATTCAGCGTATCCCAGCCACTGCAGTATGATTATTCATATGGCAATGAGGCTGGATCAAGCTCGCAAGGCTGCCACAGCGTGATGGGAGTGTTTCCAGATGATGACTTAGGAGTCCTGCAGCTTCTCTGCCAAGAGCAGGGAATTCAAACTTAATCAGGGCGAGGACCCCTCCCTCCTCTATCTCCCAGAGAGCTCCATGGGGTTGAGGCCAAAACGGGAATAGAATGAGAGAGACAAAAGTCAAAGTCTAGGCAGCATCATGCACACTCTCTCCTTCTGTTTTCCTCCCAGGGAGCCAGAGGTTTTCTCCCTTGAGCGATGGGTTCATTTTAGGGCTATTGGAGAAACTTTTCTTTCTCACTCAGGGAGGACACATTAGTAAGATTAGCTTTGTTCTACTCTATCAGCCCTATCTTAACTCTTATCTCTCCCACTTTCTCCCTCACACACACACACACACACACACAATGTTCCAGACTTCCCCACACCATGGCTGTTGTCTATCCATCACCCATTTGCACAGCCAGTGTGTTTCACTTAAGCCCAGACAGTGAGCTCTGCAGCAGGCATCCCAGCACTCAGCTCATCCCTGTCCACAGACCATGGTCACACCAAGGGGAGGAGGCAATGATCGGTCCTGATCAATAATACATCGACTGCATTAAAGCTTATGAATAAGTCATGGACAGAAAGAACCCAGTCGTCAGACACACACACATACACACATACACACACACACACACACACACACACACACACACACACACACACACACACAGTGAAGAGTGATCTTTTACTTAGGCCAGGGAAGATGAACAGACAGAAAAAGAGAACAAAGCAAGGGCTTTAACTTGTAGGGAATTTATCACTTACTCACTGACATTTTGTTGCATGTTGAAGCTTCACTCTGTCTTTTCTGTCCCATCCGCTGCCATTCTCTCTCTCCCTCTCTGCCTCTCTCACTCTCAAGTAATGGCCTTTTTCCTGTGGGTAGAATAAATAAGTTATTACATCCATGTGTCCTAAGGCTTAGCACGGACCGTCTGAATATAAATAGTTCATTTGCCTCCATCGTAGAGGCCTTTCTTTGTGCCATATGAATATATTTGTAATTACTTTCTGTTTTTTTTTTTGTTTTTTTCTTTACGAAGAGCAGGGTGACTGTTTTGGTTGACTGGAGATGCAAGATGAAATTGCCTTATACAAATAAGTCTGCCAACGTTTTACCCCAAACACCGTCTCAGACAGGAAGGAGCTGAGTGAGAGCGCAGGGCTTAGCTCAATGCAGCCTTTAGTGTGCTGTGCTGACAACAAAGAGTGAACAGCCTGTGTGATGCTGTAGACAATTTGAATACTGAGTAAAACTTGTGTGGTGGATGAAAGTGCAAGTGGTAACTTTGCCAAGAATGTGAATGGGAACAACACTTTTGAATAATTAATCTCTCAGATAATATAACTATACAGCAAGTAACCCCGTTCGGTGTGTGTGTGTGGGTGTGTGGGTGTGGGTGTGTGTGTATACGCTTTGTCAAGCATTATCATTTATTTTGGCAGTCAGTAAGATGGCACTTGATGCCAAGGTGTGTGATTATGTGTGTTTCCGTTGTTGCCACTAAAAGTTTTGTTTATAGCTTGACCACTATGGACTCCAAAGGCAAACAAGGCTTCCGCTTATAGGTACAGGTGTGCACATTCACGCGTGCACACGTTCGTGGCAGCTCTTTGATGAGATGCCCTGTTGTGAGTTTGTGTTGTGGTGATGTGCTCCTGGAGGAGGTGCAGGAGAGGAAGCGGCTCTTTGTTTCTGCCAGCAGAAGTGTGTCAGACAGGAATACTCAGGGAGCAGGGCTCAGAAAGATATCGCTGCTTACTCACTAACGTGTAGGATTTTTCTCAAAGATTGTGCTGCCTATGACAACGGTAGGGAAAGTGAGACGTCAGAGGTGGAATAGTGTTGAAGTGAGTGTGTTGAGTGTGTGAGAGAAGAGGCAGAGATGGATGGAAATGTTGCCTTGTCTGAGAGATAGGAGATAGAAACACACACACACACACACACACACACACACACACACACACACACACATACAGAATATCATCAGATACCACACACAAAATCAACAGGTTAATCTGGATTTTACTAATTAGCTACTAAGAAGAAGGTTTTCCTTGAATCAAGGATTCTGTAGAGATATTTTCTGATTCTTTCCTCTGGACAACATGATAACCTTTTAATTCAGATATCACATGATAGATTATTAAATAGATAGAAAATTATTACTTTTCATTTCACTCAAGTTTTTAGAAAATATAGTTTGTTTCAGCCAGAACTGGTGTGATGAAACTGTTTGGTGAAGGAAGAGGAGGTTGGGTTGTGTGTAGTTAGCAGTTTTAGTTAAGTTTAACAACTATGAATAATAGAATGCATCTGACAAAACATTTGCATGCATCCCTGTGGGGGACCCTGACAAATGGCTAACCACATTCAACCACTGAATTTAGTTTGAATGCACTAAATGTAAAATATTAGATGTTCTATATGGCTTCATAAACTTTATATATGTTTTTAAAGCTTCAAAGTTTATTCTGAATCCTGGAAGCAGCAGATGTTGACAGTCCCCAGAGGCTGCATCCCAGTACCTGTGATGATTCCTGCGGGGTTCACATGAGGTTCACTTTTGTGGTTTTGAGTGAAATGTATCACCAGCTATGGGATGGATTGCCATGAAATTTTGGTACCCACCTCCATGTTCTCCTCCTCGAGATGAATTGAAATAACTTCAGAGATCCTTTAACTTTTCATCCAGCACCACCATCAGGTCTAAGTTTTGATTTGTCCAATACTTCGCTTTATGACCAAATAACTGCAAACTAATCACATTACCTTCGGCATCAGCTGAACTTTGTGTTTAGTGCGAATAATGTGATGTGTTAGCATTTAGTACAGCCCGACAGAGTCAAACATGGCTCTAGGCTCTAAGTCTTGTTCTAAGCACATTGTGGGAGTTTTATCTTTTTTCATACCTTTGCTCTGAACACTTTACATTCAACTAAAAGTTATAAACCTTCTGGACTGAACTGACTTTTTAGCACCATGGCTAACTATCTCATCTCACTTCTGACTGCTCTTAGAAGCTCTCCAGTCGCTTTACTCATGGTATACTCTTTGTGTGTTTGTATGTGTTCTGCCAATCTTCGTTGTGCTCGTCTTAGAAATGATTCATTCATTTTGTTAACCATTCGTGTAAGAGCAAATACAAATTACCTTTTGCTCCAATGGTTGTCATGAACCACTCTCCCTCCAAATGTTATAACCAGTGAACAAAGCATCTGTGCTGTGGTTACATGCTGTCATTGCTACTTAAAGGCCGACATACACACACGGCTTTATTTTGTGATAATTGCATCGAATCTCACCCTGAACTAGAAGTGTCCCTAATATCATTTTTAAACCAAAAAACTCAGGCAGTCTGTCATAGCAATTAACTTGTCCTTCTTCTCAATTTTGTGCTCTATAAAACTGTATGACACCAGCGATTTATGTGGAATAATCTCTTTGTTGAGCCTTGCTCTGATAGATGACAGTAAATTCATTTCAAAAAATGCAAACTAACTGTCCAAGGTCAAAGGAAGTGACTGTTTTAAAAGACACATTTGAATGGCGAAATGAAATGGCATAACTCTGAAGCGCATTCAATCTCATTGAATTAAACAGCAACCCTATACAGTTAGTGTGTGTTTACAAAAAGCTGACATACAGTCTTTTGAAAATGGATGTGGAACTGAACATTCAGGGGGAAAATCGTAATAAGAAAGATGGAGGGGGGGAATGAGAGAAGTTACAGGAGAGCTGCTTCTGAGGGAGGAGCAGTGCTCTATCACCCTTATGACATTGTCCAATTAGAGCATATGATTAGTGTAGACTGTCTCCAGTGAAAATGAATCTATCAGCTCGGCTCGGATTGCTACAGGTCCCTGCAATTTAGCTACCACTTTGTCTCTGTCACCGCAGAGCTGCTAATATAAAACCGACAGAATGGATGATTTCTACTTAAGGCGTAGCTTGATTGAAGCTGATTACATTTCACAGAGGTTTATTATATTTCCATAATATGTGCGCGTGGTGTAGGGTGTGTGTGTGTGTGTGAGTAGGTTGCATGTTTGTGTGGCTTCATGCGAATGTTTGTGAAAGGAAGGACTGGAAATGATGGGATATGTCTTCTTAATGTGTTTTGTCTCTTCCAGGCTTCCAGAGCCGAGGGCAGACCCCATCGACCCACGGGACTTTGATGACAATGATTCTGGACCATCCATGGACCACGCCCCCTGATTTCAGCGACACCAGACTCTTCCTACATCCAACTGTCCTTCAATGTCTGCTTCAGCCAGCCATCAGCCCCTTTGAGCTGTCAGGCTGGCCCTCGCTCTGTCAGCCTTCCCCCTTTTACCACCCCCTCCCCTCCCGGCGCCTGCTGGCAGAGAACTGACCTTGAAGAAGGCTGCGGTGACAAATATGGATGGCCATGTCTTTTCTGCTCTCAAACTTTTTTAATTCCTCACTCGCTACTAACTTTCTTTAATTGAAGCACACAAGTTATGTGCAATCAATTACCATCAGGCTCAATTTCCACAGCCAGTCAGATCCTTGGCTTACTGGTGAGCCTGGCTGACTCAGAGAGGAAGCCCGGGTAGGCAGCAGAGCGGAGCATCTGTTAAGCCCAACAGATGTCAGGAATGGGAAATTCGGTGACATGGTGCGCTTCACTCTTCATTTATTCGCAATATCATTTCGGTTCTGTTGTTTTGACAAACACTGTGGCCGCTCGCAGACATAGAAAGGGAACATTTGTCAGATGCCACAATGCCTTACATCGTTGAGAGAATATATTATAAGAGCTGTTCTGGGTATGATATTTTTATTGTTTTAAAAAAAAAAAAAAAAATACAGGAAATCTGTGTCTCTAGCTTCTGATCTTTAATGTCGTCTCTGATGCTTTCCATCATCCCGTTGCGTTCACCCCTCCTTCCTCTACATCCCCTGCCTTACCCGCTGATTCTTTATGCTTGTAGATTTGGCACACTTCCTTTTGTGCTTGTCAGATCTATTATCAGAAGCGGGGGACATTTTGACACCTATTGATTGGTGAATGTTGCTGAGTCTTTGTTAGGTGAAAATCGAACTGTAATTTGACTGTGCAAAATAGCACTCCGCAGTATCAGCTCTCTGTGTACTGTAATGTAAAGGCTCATTACTCCTGGCCAATCTGCAGCATATGACGGATTACCGTCCGGACAAGCATATGCACTTTCTACCTTGACCCGCTCAGCCATAGCTTGCATTCATGATGTACCACCGCAAGTCTGTCTGTATCAGCAATTTGTTTTAATATGATTGATTCTGTTGCCTTAAATTTAAAATTGAAAGCTGTGTCACCCATTATACGTGGGACATGTTTGACAACAACATGACTTCACCACACTAAGATGCACTGAGAGTTGTATACTTACCCAAGGGAAATGTTGTTTTGTCAACAGCCTATTGAAATAACTCCAACAGCTCATTCGTTATTCCAGTGTAACAACAGACAGACAGCAGTCTGTCTGTCTGATGTTTCCTTTTGTTTTTATTTGTCTATTTTTTTCTTAAATCTATAAATAAACAACCTGTTTTTTAGATTGGATGCTGAAGAAGACATTCATATTTCTACTTTAGGAACAATTCCTGCATTATCTGTTTCTTGCAAAACACTACAAACACCTGAAAACCATCAGTCATCCTAGACACTATTATCAGAAAACCTTAAAGGCATGTGACGATGAATGGAGACAGGAAGAGAGATGAAGTGGTGTAAAGCGGAAATTCAGGAAGGCGAAGATTTCGGGTTTTCTTTCATCAAAATTCAAAGCAGCAACCCATCAAGATAGGACTGGGAATAGGAGGTTTGGGAACAAAGGGGGGTGATGGAGCAGGAGAACTCTTTAGGGTCTGTGCTTCTCTAAAGATGCATTTAAATGCAGACTGGTTTCACGCCTACAGACCAAGACAAGCCAGAACCCACTTTTCATCAACTCACAGCCACAATCAGAAAGCCTTTGTCTCACCCCCGCTCATTTTTCTTTATCACTTTCCTTCTCGGATTCACACCATGCGGCACACACTGGTCTCAGACCTGCTCTCTACCTGAGCTGCTTCATCAAGCCAAGAATGCTTCCTCAGCATGTCCAGTCTCCCCACATTGAGATATTGACCGAGAGAAACTCATTTAGCCGGTGGTCATTGCTATCTGGGTGGTAACACATCTGGGGTTTGCATTCTCTTGTGAGTTTCCCTTTACAGAAATAATGGGGCTTAATGATTTACCGCAGGAGGCATTGATCCTCAACATTCACTAAGCTACTGCTGACTGACCAAGCACCAGAGCACTCAAACCCCTTTAGAGATTTTTTTTTCTTGTGTATGTTTTAGTGTGGCTGCAACTAAATTGATTTAAGTTAGCTGTGAGGAGGCATAGCCATATACAAGCTCCCGTGCTATCAAAGAGAAGCTGGTTTCGGCGAATAATCGTTATCCCGTCATCTGTCGTGGAGTCCAGCCTGATCAAAGAGATAATAACAAACCTAAGGGGGGGGGGCGCACAATGTGCCTGTTGTCTGGGGAGGAAATGGAGAGGAGAAGATTGTCTGATCTCATTTAGCCAGGAAGACCACAAGGTTCCCTTTTTTTCCACACCCAATTACACCTGCTCTTCCAGGTTCACTTCACTGAACATGTTCACACAGAGGCACAAAGATGTGCAAATAAACACAAGCACATCCGTAAGACCTCCATTTTACTGATGGGCAAAAAGAGACTATTGGTGTATTTGTATTGACATGAATTAATTGCTTCATGGGTTGTGAGATTGAATTAGCTACGTGACATGCTTGCTAGTGGTGATGCAGCTTTGATTGCTGCCTTTAATAGAGCCTATTTCTCTCTGCCATCATTTAAAAGACAGTTGGAGGCTGTGGTTTCACAGTAATGGAACAGCTCCACCACCCATCAGCCCACCATGACATGCCTTAATGATTCTGTTTATTAGCATGCAAGAGAAATAGGAAAATTCTCTAATAACAGACCACGTATTTCCCTAAGACATATGTATGTATGTGTGTGTGTGTGTGTGTGTGTGTGTGTGTGTGTGTGTGTGTGTGTGTGTGTGTGTGTGTGTGTGTGTGTGTGTGTGTGCTGCATGTGTGTCTGTATGTGTGTGCTTCTAAGTATTTGTGAGGATGAGCATTAGCCTGTGAGAAATGACAGTTTATCTGCAGAGACCCACACCTCCGCCCTTGCTCAGATTGCATGTTCTTGTACCATTCAAGAGAATGTATTGCTTGTCTCACAGTAAATGCACTTTCTTATTCATCTTTCCCCTTAGCCCCTTCACACACACACACACACACACACACACACACATACACACACAAAGGAAACAGGCAACCATCAAGGGATGCTAGCCCCAAACTTTTACATTTTCCACCATTTGCCTTGGTTTTAACTACTCGCACGTAACAAAAAAGTGATATTTCATGATTGTTCTTTACATTTTTTGTTTGTATTCTTAGTCACAACCTGCACAACCACCTCCAGCTTGTCTCCATCTCATTTACTATGTTCAACAAAAGGCTAAAGTGAAAGAATAGAAAATATGGGAAGAAAAAAAAAAAATCTCTTCTCAGTTGTCGATTTTTGGCTCATATGAGATCCAGTCGATGAGATTGTGGCAACACAGGTTGTGGACCATCTCAGACTGACTGACAGCAGGCATCTGTCAGAGGTGGCAGGTACAGACAGCTGTCTGGCAGCCCTAGCTCATGAACAATGACTGGGTGGAGACGAGACGGGCCAGGGAATCCATCTCTCCTCTCGACAGCCTCCATCACTCTTACATCCCAGAGTCAGCCAAGACATCTTAGGTCCTCTGTCTCTAACCTCTGTGCAATCTTTTCCTGTCTGAACGTCCTACTTGGACAAGTAAAGAAACTGTAGAGTGGGTAGGGAAAGGAGACTAAGGGGATGTTGTGATCAAAAGAGCAGCAGGTGAACAGGCTCATACCAGGGTTTAGAATGAGGATTAGAGTTTAGAATTAAGTTTGCGGTGGAGAGACATAAAATTGGTCACATGCAAGGTAATAGAGATGGGGATCACGATGGGTTGGATGCAGTGGAAAGGAACCGGGATGCTTGGTTTCCTCCAGCTGATAATGGAACGTGCCTCAATAAAATGAACATCCCGCCTAGATAACACCCAATGCGCTTCCTTTTGCGAGCTGTAACACATTATGCTCCCTCTGTCACAGATGTGATGAATCATCCACACAACAAGGATGAATGTTGAATGTAGAGGAGTGGGCGGCAAAATATAGCATTTACAGGCTGGCTCTGCAAAATCTCTGCCCAAAGGTACGTGGAAGCAAAAACAATATATGTCTATAATGTAATATCAAGACAGAATATTAAATTTTGTTGACACAAATGTGTGAGTGTGTATGACATCCAAATAAGATGTATTACATTAGAGATGTGAGGTGTGAGTTTCTATGTTTCACAAAAGTTTGACATCCACCCACGCTCGCTATTCACTAAAACCCTGCCAACCTGACTTGATCCACTCTAGTTTTCCGTCCCATCTCTGCGTCGCTCCCCATCCCTCCTCATGCCTCTCATCATTCATGCTGTGTACACAGTCTGTCCCTTTCTGGTTGCCCAGGCTCCTCCGGAGCTTGTTAATTGCGTTGGTGACACAGGTCTGTGTGTGAAGCAGCAGTAGTAATTGCTCTGGCCTGGCCTGAGAAGAGGAAGGGGTGCGGCCGTCTGGCCGCCGGGTCTGCCCCAAGGCTACGAGATTAGATACATGCTTCCATGTTTGATGAGATGGATAGCATTAGCAGTTTTATCAGGGACATAACTCGTACTGCTGCCCTAATTAGGTTTTCTATACCTCACATACTGTATAAATGTGGTATATGTTTTTCCTTTGCTGTTTAGTTCACCAGTGGCTGGAAAGCACTTTGTACAATACTATGATAACCTTTAAATTACTGCTGGGACACTGCATTATCCATTCAGTTTCTTTGTTTCACATCACCCTTATACAGCGAGATCAAATGCCAGCACTTTGCATAATTTGTAGACCCAAATGCACAAGAGTGGCAGACTTAAATGCCTGCTGTTGTACAAATAGCTTTCTTGCAGTTAGTAGCTTCGTGTCAGTGGCCCCCATTCATCAGGCTGCTCTGGGAAAGACTGTAGATTCTACCCAGCATATTATCCTAAATAAATCGAAAACAGCATTCGGAGGGAAAGCAGTGAAATAAATTGACCATTTATATATAAAACACCCCAAAATGTTGCAGTTTGATTTATGAAAGAAAGGCTTGGCACTGGAAAATACATAAACCTATATATATATATATATATATATATATACACACACAGTTGATGTTGAAATTTATTCTAGTACATGTTGATGGAGCTGCTGTGTAGTTTGGGTTCTGGCACAGTTTCACTCACTTGCAATGTGAATGAGACCTGGCACAGTAGCTCAGTGGTTAGCAGTGTATCTTCGCAACAGGAAGCCCTGGGATTGAACCCTTCCAAGCCCGAGTGGGATGTGTCCTCAAATAACAAGGTATTAGGAATGTACCTAACTTTACCGTTGACCAACACACCGGCCTTAGGACTGGATTTGGTTCCTTTGGGGCTGTAACACAGCTGCCCACTGCTGCTAAGTACTCTGCATGGGTCGGATACAGAGGACAATTTCCTCACAGTGATTAATGAAGCATAACATAAAAGGTGTTGCTTCAGTTGCTGCCAGGATTAGTGAGAATGTAAGAAGCTATTATATTATCACTCAGCTTTGTTTTAACTAAGAGGTAACTCCAGCATACTTGTCTTGAAAATTAGATATGCAAATGTGAAATTATAACCTATCATTCCATATCCTTACCATTCTCGGCTGTATTTCACAGTCTGCCATACAGTTCTAGGCACCCTGTAGTGTGGAATAACAAACTGAAATTTACATGTACTTGTTCAGCAAGTCAGGAGGAATATGCCAAACACCCACCCAGAGAGAGGGAGAGAGAGAGAGAGAGGCGTAGAGAGCTCGTTCATCTCTTGCGTGAAGCCTGCGAGAAGTCAGGTATGTAGAAGTTGCTTTTCTTATTGTGTTAGATTAAACAGTTTGAAACCAGTCTGGTACAGTATATGTTTGCTTGACATGACTCAGGTTCATGGCCTGTAGAATACAATGGCTGTTTATACAACCGTTAACCAGGTTGTGGCTTCGTGGGTGTGCCCTGATATCAGCCAGTGCTCATGGGTTACACTGTGCAATCAAACATTTAAAAAAAAGAAAAATAGCAGCCTATAAAGCCAGGAATTCTAGTAGTTATCGTTGCACAAATCAGCCACTTTGCTCTTTGAAGTTAGTGTGAGCAATTTCCAAGCAAATGTGATTGTGATTTGCATGGTCATTTGTAAGATCAGATTTGATTGTACAGAAGTAACAATGTGCTCTAATGCTTCTCTCATAATATTTTCTAGTTAGATATACAACACATTTATTGTTGTATTGTATATAAATTGATGTATACTACAAAGTGTTTTCACAAGAGCATTATTTCTTT